ACCGGGTGTGGGGGTCCCATGTGGGGCCCTGGAGGCTCCTGCGAGGGGCCACAAGACATCGTGTGTGGAGGTCCCATGTGGGGCCACAGGGCACTGTGTGGGGGGGGCCCGTGTGGGGCCCTGGAGGCTTCTGTGGGGCGCAGGGCAGCGTGTGGGAGGGTTCCGCGTGGGGCCCAGGGCACGGCCCGTGGGGGCGGGGAGGCTCCTGCGTGGGGGTCCCGCGTGGGGCCCAGGGCACGGCCCGTGGGGGCGGGGAGGCTCCTGCGTGGGGGTCCCGCGTGGGGCCCAGGGCACGGCCCGTGGGGGCGGGGAGGCTCCTGCGTGGGGGTCCCGCGTGGGGCCCAGGGCACGGCCCGTGGGGGCGGGGAGGCTCCTGCGTGGGGGTCCCGCGTGGGGCCCAGGGCACGGCCCGTGGGGGCGGGGAGGCTCCTGCGTGGGGGTCCCGCGTGGGGCCCAGGGCACGGCCCGTGGGGGCGGGGAGGCTCCTGCGTGGGGGTCCCGCGTGGGGCCCAGGGCACGGCCCGTGGGGGCGGGGAGGCTCCTGCGTGGGGGTCCCGCGTGGGGCCCAGGGCACGGCCCGTGGGGGCGGGGAGGCTCCTGCGTGGGGGTCCCGCGTGGGGCCCAGGGCACGGCCCGTGGGGGCGGGGAGGCTCCTGCGTGGGGGTCCCGCGTGGGGCCCAGGGCACGGCCCGTGGGGGCGGGGAGGCTCCTGCGTGGGGGTCCCGCGTGGGGCCCAGGGCACGGCCCGTGGGGGCGGGGAGGCTCCTGCGTGGGGGTCCCGCGTGGGGCCCAGGGCACGGCCCGTGGGGGCGGGGAGGCTCCTGCGTGGGGGTCCCGCGTGGGGCCCAGGGCACGGCCCGTGGGGGCGGGGAGGCTCCTGCGTGGGGGTCCCGCGTGGGGCCCAGGGCACGGCCCGTGGGGGCGGGGAGGCTCCTGCGTGGGGGTCCCGCGTGGGGCCCAGGGCACGGCCCGTGGGGGCGGGGAGGCTCCTGCGTGGGGGTCCCGCGTGGGGCCCAGGGCACGGCCCGTGGGGGCGGGGAGGCTCCTGCGTGGGGGTCCCGCGTGGGGCCCAGGGCACGGCCCGTGGGGGCGGGGAGGCTCCTGCGTGGGGGTCCCGCGTGGGGCCCAGGGCACGGCCCGTGGGGGCGGGGAGGCTCCTGCGTGGGGGTCCCGCGTGGGGCCCAGGGCACGGCCCGTGGGGGCGGGGAGGCTCCTGCGTGGGGGTCCCGCGTGGGGCCCAGGGCACGGCCCGTGGGGGCGGGGAGGCTCCTGCGTGGGGGTCCCGCGTGGGGCCCAGGGCACGGCCCGTGGGGGCGGGGAGGCTCCTGCGTGGGGGTCCCGCGTGGGGCCCAGGGCACGGCCCGTGGGGGCGGGGAGGCTCCTGCGTGGGGGTCCCGCGTGGGGCCCAGGGCACGGCCCGTGGGGGCGGGGAGGCTCCTGCGTGGGGGTCCCGCGTGGGGCCCAGGGCACGGCCCGTGGGGGCGGGGAGGCTCCTGCGTGGGGGTCCCGCGTGGGGCCCAGGGCACGGCCCGTGGGGGCGGGGAGGCTCCTGCGTGGGGGTCCCGCGTGGGGCCCAGGGCACGGCCCGTGGGGGCGGGGAGGCTCCTGCGTGGGGGTCCCGCGTGGGGCCCAGGGCACGGCCCGTGGGGGCGGGGAGGCTCCTGCGTGGGGGTCCCGCGTGGGGCCCAGGGCACGGCCCGTGGGGGCGGGGAGGCTCCTGCGTGGGGGTCCCGCGTGGGGCCCAGGGCACGGCCCGTGGGGGCGGGGAGGCTCCTGCGTGGGGGTCCCGCGTGGGGCCCAGGGCACGGCCCGTGGGGGCGGGGAGGCTCCTGCGTGGGGGTCCCGCGTGGGGCCCAGGGCACGGCCCGTGGGGGCGGGGAGGCTCCTGCGTGGGGGTCCCGCGTGGGGCCCAGGGCACGGCCCGTGGGGGCGGGGAGGCTCCTGCGTGGGGGTCCCGCGTGGGGCCCAGGGCACGGCCCGTGGGGGCGGGGAGGCTCCTGCGTGGGGGTCCCGCGTGGGGCCCAGGGCACGGCCCGTGGGGGCGGGGAGGCTCCTGCGTGGGGGTCCCGCGTGGGGCCCAGGGCACGGCCCGTGGGGGCGGGGAGGCTCCTGCGTGGGGGTCCCGCGTGGGGCCCAGGGCACGGCCCGTGGGGGCGGGGAGGCTCCTGCGTGGGGGTCCCGCGTGGGGCCCAGGGCACGGCCCGTGGGGGCGGGGAGGCTCCTGCGTGGGGGTCCCGCGTGGGGCCCAGGGCACGGCCCGTGGGGGCGGGGAGGCTCCTGCGTGGGGGTCCCGCGTGGGGCCCAGGGCACGGCCCGTGGGGGCGGGGAGGCTCCTGCGTGGGGGTCCCGCGTGGGGCCCAGGGCACGGCCCGTGGGGGCGGGGAGGCTCCTGCGTGGGGGTCCCGCGTGGGGCCCAGGGCACGGCCCGTGGGGGCGGGGAGGCTCCTGCGTGGGGATGCTGGGGGGTACAGGTTCCTACTTCCAGGAGCCTGGGCTGTGAAGTCCCTCATTCTCCCTCTGTCCAAATCCCTGGGATCCCTGGCGGGGGTGGGAGGGCTGTAGTCCTGGGAACACAACTTCTACACCAGTCTCCCCTCCAGTGGGGCTGGCCCTGCACCTGCCTCGCTGTTGTGGGAATGGGAGTTCTCTTACCACAAGGGGTAGTGAACATTTCCCTCTCTCCCAGGGGCAGCAGCATCGCAGGGGGGGTTCCCTTTACTCCCTGTCTCTGCCATTGCAGGTGCCCGCCCTGGGCAGGCGGTGCCATGGAGCCCGAGACCCGCAGCATCCAGATCGAGTTCCCCCATTACGCGGCTGTGCTGCTGGAATCTCTCAACAAGCACCGCTTGGAGGGCAAGTTCTGCGACATTTCCATCCACGTGCAGGGCCGGGTCTTCCAGGCTCACAAGAGTGTCCTGGCCGCCTCCTCGCCCTACTTCCATGACAAGCTACTCCTCAATGACACCAACTGCATCGTGCTGCCCAGCGTCATCGAGCCTGACGCCTTCGAGAACTTACTGCAGCTCATCTACTCCGGCCGCCTCAAGCTCCTGATGGAAGCGCTGCCCAGCCACCTGCTGGTGGCTAGTGGACTGCAGATGTGGCAGGTGGTGGACCAGTGCTGGGGGCCCCTGCCGGCCCTGGTCCAGCAGGGCAAGTGAGAACCAGTCCCCCAGTAGCAGCAATTATTTTGCTGTGAAGGATGATGGAGAGCCGGTGGGTGGAAGCTCAGAGGGGCCTGGCCATGGCGGGGTATCGTCAGGCCGGGCAGCACCCGGCTGCCCTGACAATGAGGTGATGAAGATCCGGGTGTCCCAGGAGGAGGAAGAGGAGGAGGAGGAGGAGGAGGAGGAGCACGAGCACCAGGCCCGGATTTTTAGTGGCTCTGTGGACAAGGCAGTGAAGATTGTCCTGGAGGAAGATGGAGAGGTTGGTGGCAGAGGCGGCTCCAAAGGGCCATCTTCTGGGGAGCTGGACGGCCCCTTTCATGCCCCCCGCGATCACCCCAAGATCTTCTACATCAAACAGGAGCGCTTTGACCCAGATGAGGCTGCAGGGGCTGCGCTGGGAGGAGGCCTGAGTGCAGCCGGGGAGGCCAGCTTTCTCAAGTCATTGGCACAGGAGCGGGCATTGGCCATGGCTGAGGTGCGGGGTCTGTGCCAAGCAGACTTCCAGCCAAGCAGTGAAGTCAGCTACATAATCCCTGCTGCAACCACAGGTGCCGCCTCCTCCATCCCCACCCCTGGCTTCACCATTAAGGCCCAGCCCCTCTCCTCAGATGAGGCCAGCTTCCCCCAGAGCTCCTGGAAGCCAGTGGACCTACATGGCAACGAGATCATTGCCCACGCGGTACATGGCCAGGTGGTGCACGCACCTGTCAAAATTGTGGCAGCCCCTGATGGGAAGAAGTTTGGTTGTCTGTGCGGCAAGCGCTTTGCTGTCAAGCCCAAGCGAGACCGGCACATCATGCTGACCTTCAGCCTGCGCCCCTTCGGCTGCTCTGTCTGCAACAAGAAGTTCAAGCTGAAGCACCATCTGACAGAGCACATGAAGACCCATGATGGGAACCTGTACTCCTGCGAGGACTGTGGGCGCAAGTTCCGTGTGCAGAACTGCTTCCTCAAACACAAGGAATTGTGCAAAGGCCAGGGCTGGGCCACTGCTTGCTGGACCTACAAATAAACCTTGGATGGGGGCTGCAGGGAGGACTCCTACCACCCTTCTTGAGGCTGGTTTGAGCCCCTGAGCAGCTCAGAACCCTGCTCCATGGCCCGGTGGACACCAAAGTATGAAGGGCAGCTGGGCAGGCCAAGGGATTTGGGCTCTTGTGCTGCTCCATGGTGTGGCATTTGTTACAGACCTTGCCCTGGTGTAAGGTGGAGGAACTTGGGGCAGGAGGCAGGAGCATGGGGCTGATGGGAACCTCAAGGAAAGGGATTAAATCTGCCCTGCTGTGGGCACTTTGGGCCAGCGACAATAGGGCAGGTGAGAGAGGAGCACTGGTGCAGCAGATTGCTTAATCGCAGACCCTGATGGCAGCAGTGGCAGGTTGGGCCTGTGAAAACCACAGTCCCGAGCTGCCCTCCTGGGAGTCTGACTTCTGGGCAATGTCCCAGCCAAGGCTGAGTCCCTCATGCCTGCTCCAGCGGCGGGTGGTGGGGGGCGACCTGCCCTTTTCTGGGAGCACTCCTCTGGAACCTGGTCTCTGACACTTTGAGGCCATGTGCCCAACCTGGGGTATTCCAACCCCCTGCCACAGGAGACTCAATAAAAGAGATCTGTGCCTCCCCCCGCCCCCAGCCTTGGACTCATCCTCTGCAGCCTCCTGCATCCCTCCCTGGCAGGACAGTGACTGGCCTTGTCAAAGTCAGGCTGGCTTTTCAACAGTGCTCTCAAAATGATTGAGAGGCACAAACCAGAGCTCACCGCTGAATCCAGTACTGTGGTGGGGGCATGGGCAGGATAGGGGAAAGCTTCAAGGAGATGATGTGGCCAGCTCAGCTGAATGGGATGGAACTAGGTCTGGAAGGGAGGCTTTTGTCTTTGTGGCTCCCACTACCTCCCTACTCTCCCTCAAACAAGGCCCAGCGTGAGCTCCCCTTTATGCTGGAGCAGCTGAGCCATTCCACTGTGCTGGGCTGCAGGTCCCAGGCCTGGGGCCCAAGATTCTGCAGTGAGCCCCAGCATCTGGCCAGCTTGGGTTGGGACCTGGCTCATCCTTTTGGGCAGTGACTGGTGGGAGGGTGCTTTGAGCTGGAGTGAATGGGTCTCTGTGCTGGCTGGAGCACAAAGCAGGGAGCAGTGTGCCATGTTCTGTAGAGCCAAAGTCCCTGAGTAGTTCACACCAAGACTCATGTGGGGGTGGGCTTGCCAGCCTCTCTGCAGTCTCCTTAGCCTGCTTTCTGGCTTCAGCAGCCTCTGCCTTTCTTGGCCCTGTCATGGGGGTATCTCTTAGTGCCTTTGTTTTATTTGACCTCTTTTTTCCTATCAGTTCCCTGCTGTAGTTCATGCCCCTTCCCACAAGGCATCATGAGCTGGGGGTGGGGGTGGGGGTGGGTGTGTGTGTGTGTGTGTGTGTGTGTGATGTTGAGTCAAACAGGGCAAGCCAGGCCATTGTTTATAACTATAGGCACCTCCCTATAGGCATCTGCTATTGGAGCAGCCTGGGTGGGTCAGAACATGTTTCTGATTGGCCAGTGCCAGATACTTCAGAGGGAATGAACAGAATAAACAACTTAAGGGCCATCCCCAGCCAGTCAGAGACTAGGGCATACCCCTGCCCAATAGCCATTGGTGGCCCTGAGCTCCAGGATCTTCTCCAGCTCTTTTCTCAACTTAGTTATACTTTTGGCCTTCACAGCATTGGGACAGTGAGTTCCACAAGATACCTGCCCGTGAGTTGAAGAAATGCTGCCTTCTGTTGGCTTTAAACATGCTGCCTATTCATTTCAGTGAGCAACCCCTAGTTCTTGTGTTATAGGAACAAGTAAACATTTCTACATTGACTTTCTCTGCACCAGTCCTGGTTTTATGGACCTCTCTCATATTCTCCCTCCCCAGCTGTCAACTCCAGTTTGCACACTCGCAGTCTTTTTACTCACTTCATCTGGAAGCTGTTCTATAGTCCTGACGGTTTTTGGAGTCCTTCTCTGTAGTTTTTGCAATTCTAATATCTCTTTTTGCGGAAGGAGACCCAAATGGCATACAGCATTCAAGGTGTGGCCCTACGGGAGACTTAATTAGTAGTATTAGGACATTCTCTGTCTTCTTATCAAGCCCTTTCCAAATGGACCCCAATGTTCTATAGTATCTGGGGTTTGGGTTTGAGGATTTTCATTCCTTCCCCTTTGCCTGTAGCATTGACTAGCTCAGAAACACTCTGGCTGTGTCTAGA